GGTCAGAATGATGCAAATTCTGCACAGAAGGGGGGAGGAGACAGCTTTAACAGGCAGCTGTGCAGGAGAGCACAGAACAACCCCCTGGCTGGGACTGTGCTCTGTCCCTGCAGGGCTGCTCTGAACCCTCACCTCTCCCTCCCCAGGAAGGGCGTGCCAGGGCTGCCGAGGAACAGGGCTGTGGGAGCAGCCTGGACACCGGGAACGGGCAGTGCCCCGGGTGTGGCACTGCCATTGTGCTCCAGTGATTTACTCCCCACACAGCAAATAAGGCCAGGCAGATAAAAGGAGGATTTAGGGAGAAGGCAGGGAAAGCCTCCCAAGAATAAACACTGTGTAACTAAGAGCCCAGCACGGAAAAGGGCCAGAGAACTGGCTACACTTCCAACGGCACAGCACACAAGTACAGGCTTCCTTGGGGATAAATGCATTCATTCGAATGGATTTGAAGGAAAGGGTTTGCTGTTATTATGGGAAGCATTGAGAGACTTGCATTTGAAATAAAACTACCCCTTCCATAGGAAGAGATTGCTACACATTTTCTTCAATGCCAAGTTAATGTATTTAAATTGCTCTGTACCGTTCTCTTTATCATATGTAACAATATCCTCCATTATCCCTTTTTGGGAAATCAAACTTTAAAGTGTTTAAAGTTCCTTTAAAGTGTTCCCAATGAGAGTAATCTGATTTGCTTGCTTAGCTTACAATTCTACTATGAGACATGCCAGTAGTCTAAGCTTCAGATGATGATAACATATTCACCTGTTACTATTAACTTCTTTAAAAACTTGAAGTTCTGTGTTTTTTTGGGCAGACTTCTATGCAATACATAACTTCTCACAGTCCTAAGTAGAAAACAATAACCTGTACAAGCATAAAATGAGATGACATGAGTTCATCCCAAACAATCTGAGCACTTTTACAGATGAGGTTCTGCAAAGCAACATTTCATTTTACTCTCCATGAGCTCAGTTCCCTGACTGTCCTCATTCCTACTGCCATCAGTCCCTGCTCCCTGCCTGTCACTGCTCTTGGCCAAGGACATATTTATCATCTGCAGGTCTGTCCAGTCTTTTGTGTGATCCAGCACATGAACACCCACTGCCTCCATTCAAGTTTTGTGCCACCCGAAACAACTTGCCACGTTCCACCTCACAACCAGCAAATAATTGGTATTGATGACAATAGTCAAGCAGAAATAGTCCAGATTTTTTTTATTTACTATCTAATTTTTAAAATAGAACAGTTCTAGAATGCCTAAGTATAAAGCATGCATTATCATTCCAACTGGAAATAACCTGCTATAGAGACCTTCTTTCGTGCATTAGTGTTTCCTTCCTAGGGCTTTTCTTTCTTCATTTAATGGAGCTGATTCTGTACCAGTTAGGAATATTTCCATATTCCTCTCCTGTTCTTGGATTATTGATTTGGTCCATCCTGTTATATTTTACAGAATAAATGACAACCTGAGAAATTATTGAAAAGATCAGGACACTGTCTCCTGAAAGAAAAGTAGAACTATTTCCAAAGTAAGATAACCTGAAGCATAAGTTTTTAAAAAAAATTAACACTGATGAAATAAATAAATGGAGAAAATTATGCCAGAGGCCTCAATCTTGATATTTATAGGAGAATATGAGGGGAGGAAACAAGCCTCTGCATTCCATGCATAAAGGATTCCTACTCATTAACACATATAAATGCTGATGGATAATTAAGTAATTCGGGAGACAGACCATGCATATGGGAAGCATTTCTGGTATTTTATGACCCTTTCCACTGACCTATGTAATTACTCCACTGCTGATTAATGCAGCAACATAAACCCTCTGTGAACATCTCTATTATGAAGTGTATTTCAATTCTAAATGACCTTTCTTTTTATTTATTACACTGAGATCAAAAAAAATGTTGTTAAATTCTTTTATTCTCTCCAATGCTATTAAAGAGAAAAAGAATCCATAAACTTTATTAAGTGATCAATTTTTAAGCCACCTACAATGTAGTATAGAAAACAGAGCCAACTTATATTTGGCAAGAACAATTCATGTCAAACCAATCTAATTTCCTTTTCTGACAGGGAAAATGGCTGAATGGATAAAAAGAAGGAATAGATGTGACATTTTAATTGTAGTAACATTGTTATATGTGGCATTCCTATAAACAATACTTATAAGTCATAAGACTATATTAGAATACATGGATGGTGTCCCCTTGAGCTGGAGCAAAACTTAGTGGAAAAAAAAGGGAGTTTAGGGAACAGCTGGTAATGATTTGTCCTCAGATAGAGTCTATCAAGGGAAGGCCACCAGAATCTGGCCTGGGACCTCACCAGTGTGTTCATCTGGGCTCCAGCTTTTGAAGGAGAAATTACAAGTGTGCAATGGACTCCAAACTGGGGGGGAATGAGCAGTTTGGAGGTTAGTCCCAATAGCATCCTGAGAAACTGGAGAAATAATCCATAAATGGAACTGCTGAGCTTCAGTAAGAACAATTGAAAAGAACTATACCTGGGAAAATGAAATCAAGTGCCTCAGTACAAAATGAGAATAACTCCCTGGGCATCACTGCATAAGAATGGGACTTGACTGACTTTCTAAACCCTTCTGTATTCAGATGCTGAATTTCCGTTAATAATATGGAACTATAAATAGGAGTAGCATGTAAAGTTCATAGACTGGACCCAAACATGATCCTCTCTATAAGGAATGAGCCTTTAGCTGGAGCAAACCTGTGGCAGAACAAGCCAGTTAAGGTGAATTCTCAGGAGACACCCCTGCAATCTTAAATGCTCTCTGCAGGATACTCAAATCCCCATCCTCTTCTCTCCACTGCTGCCTCGCAGCACTAGTTCTTGCCAAGCCTAGGTCCTGCTCCCAGACTCTGTGTGGCACCTGGCAATGGAGAAAGCTCACTGGAGTACCAACTTCAGCACACACTGACTTGGATAACACTGCCATAGCACCAGGGACAGTCGGGGACACAGCAGCTCTCCCTCCACCTCCACACCTCGGCCAACTCAGCAGCTCCCTCAGCAGCACTGCCAGCACCTCCCCCGGGCTGCACGGCGGGGCTGGATCTCTGCAGACAGGAGGGGACTCCCTGGGAGCAGGAGGAGTTTGGGGGGGGAGCAGCACGAGTGTGAGCAGGGTAAGGGAGCGGGACAAGCCCTGGTGCCAGAGGCTGTGTGGGGCAGGGACAGCTGGTGTCCTTCCCCACAGCAACCCTGAGCTCTGCACCACCGAAATGAAACACCTCTGTGCCACCCCTGCAATGTGAGGAATGATGGCACTCCAGTTACTGTGGAATATGACCACAGGCATGCAAGCCACAGTCCTCATTAAGTGCCTCTGAAAGTGCTGGATCCAAGAGCTGTAGTACATGGATGGGGAGATGGAAGAGCTTTGTGGCCAAAAGGGAATCCGAAAGGGTGGGAACTGGCCTGGTCAATGTACCCCGGGATTAAAAAGGGGTGTAGTTCCCCAGTGGTCAGTCCAGCACCATTCCTGAGCTTTACACTCCCTTTAAATTAGCATGTAATATAAAAATAAATATTACAAATTAAGGTTATCTGACAAGGAACATGTAATTTACATTTTTAAACTCACAGTGTATGTTTTGATGTAACCCATAAAGTTCCTGCTCTGCAAGTCCCAGCTGACATTCCTTTTTGCCTTCAACTCATTCATCTCTACCTGTTAAAGGGGATTCTTTTATCCTTCATCATACTTGGGAAAAGCAATTCTGCAGGACAAGAAGTCTTTGGTGCTCATGCCAGGGAGAACATGAGACTAGACAAGTAGTGTGATCCCCCCTAACATTAAGAGTTTTCTCATTTATCTACATATCCCTGACAGTCACCTTGGACATTACATGCCTTCATAGTGTTTTTTAAATCCTACAGATGTTTAAATAAATGCTTTTATCTTCTGCAACCACACAGGTATTAACATACACAATGTTTAAAGAAAGACACTGGATAAAACGGTTATTTTTAGAATTTCCTCACTTCATAAAACAGTACAATAGCTACGATGCCACAAATAACTCACTATGAACTCTTCTTATAAGCAAACAGAGGAAGTGTAAGTTTAAGAAGAGACAAGGAGTTCAGAATAGACAATGTATTAAAATACTAGCTTTAGTACAGTTAGTAAAAATATATATAAATATTGCCTTTGCTTTGGGTCAGTGAAAATTTAAATTAGATGTTAATCCATAGGTCAATTTGAGACTTGGGCAGAAAAGCCTAACACACTTAATAACCATCAATGAGTCCAAGTTTCGTCTGAGACAAAAAGCAACAAAACCAGTGAACTATTAAATTCATGACCAACTTTCTGACTTTTGGAAACATTTATTTATGTTATTACAAAAGTGGAGTTTAGTTGGATAATGTATTTTTGTTTGAGATTCCCTCTATATTATTTTGTGGATTCAGGAAAGTTTCAGCTTCTCTCTTCTGGAGTATTACCTATTCTGTCAGAGAAGCAGCAGTGAAGACAGTAGAGTTTAAAACCACTGGCCAAAAGTTGGCCCTGTGTGCTTTCCCCCAATTCCTATGACAAGTTGAAGAGCTTTCCCAAGACATGGAGTGTCAGCCATCTGCTTACAGCTGGCTTTGGATGTGACCTAATGAGCAGGAAATAGGGTGAAAAAAAGAAGTGTGTTGGAAATGGTTTCTGAAGGAGTGTCAGCAATTTGTTTTGGGCTTTCTTGAAGCATTATGATGTCCTTTTGAGACATCACTGAGTCCTGTTGCTGTGTGTTTGAGGAGTAACTTCAGCTCTCTGCAGATCAGCACCCTTACTTTGGCCTACCTCCCCCTGAACACTGCCAGCTCTCTTATGGATCCCTACCAAGAAAATGGACAAGCAGCTTCTAATTTCCCTCTGGCTAGATTTTACAAGATGTACCTGGAGACATTTAATAAGCCCCAGCCAGTGATTTTCAAACCAACTTTGTGATTTTATAGGCACTTTTGATGGACTCAGACTTACCTGTAGTGCTGCAGTTCCGATTCCAGCTGCTGGATGTGTGTTTGCAGACGTGGCACCTCGTTGGCTTTCACTTCCAGCTCCCTCACTTTGCCAAGGCTGTTCAGGACGGCGTGTCTCGCCTCTTCCACCTTCCTCCTCATCTCTGCCTGTTCCCTCTTCAGGTTACGGTTGCAGTCCTCCAGACTGACCAGGGCTTCCTGGGAGCTCCTCAGCTCCCTTTCCAGCTCCTGGTTGAACCTGATTGCTTCTTCGATTTGCCCATCCCTGGAGCTCCGGATGAGCTCCATTTCCTTCAGGACACTTTGGAGGCACTTGCTCTGGGAGTGGTTCTGTGGTAATGGTCTCTTACTCCCCATGGAACAGGGCCCCTCTTCCCTGTGGTTCGCATGGCTCTTCCGCAGTCCCACCTACAACGACCAGGAGCAGAAAGAAGGAGAAATCATTGTGTCCAAAGCAGCTGACATTTTATCAAGACTGAAATCTCTGGATTGTAGTTTTTTGGGTTTTTTTCAATCACATATAGCTGATCAGCAACTAATAAGCTACTTACCTTTGTGAAATAGAGAGACAAGGAAATGTTCTCTGGAAAGTAGTTTTTAATATGTATCTGTAAATTTAATTTTCAAACTATTTGTTATTAGGTTATTGCACAAGTGTCCATATAGCTTTAAAGTCATTACTGTGGTCTGTCCTCAGAAGGCAAGTAGTGTTCTGAAAGAAATATTTCCAGTTAAGTCAAAGTGTTCATTGTAGAACTGAGTTCAGTAGAAGTGAGCTGGGGGAGTTCTCGAGCTCTCATCTATGGCCTTCTGATTCTTTCTGGGTTCTCTGACTGATGACTTCGTGTTTGCTTCTAATTTCCTTTCTCTTTTCAGATGAAAATGTAGAAGTGGCTTTGACCTGCCATGCTGGACATTGTGAGGAGGCACAGCCAGCTCAAGGAAATGGCAGTGTCACACATGGGGCAGAGTTCTGTGAGTGCTGTGTTAGTGGGAAATCTGACGTGATCAGAACAACCAGGGAACTCTGCCCTTCACTGCTTTGCCTGTTCCATGCTATTTCATGCCAGAGTAATTTAACTGCTGCTAAGTATGTATGGCCAGTACAGCAGAACCACCAGGAACCAGCCCCAGAATTAATGGGGCTCTGCAGAGGAGCCAGAGACTATTCATCAGCCTGTCTGCAGAACTGGCTCCAGCTCTGAACTCTCGTGACCACACTCTGAACAAAACACACTTCTAATGTCTCCAAGGCACTTATAACTGAGACACTGCATGTGCTTGTACAGGTAAGAACCCAAGAGTTCTTTCTGACTTTAGGAAAAAGCCCTGTAATGATGCATAACCAGTATATAACTGCCCGTGCATGTGCACTTGAGGAGTGGTATTACACACCTGAAGTCCCCTACACTTTTAGCAGGGTGCTTTTCAGCCTATCCCTTAACCATATACAATGTCACACTGGTGAAAATGCAACATTTGTCCTTAAAACCTCCACATAACCAAACTTTGCTAAAAATTAATGCTGAGGATGTAAGACCAACTTTGGTCTATGCCATACTCCTTTTATCCATTACGCTGGGGGCACAGGGCTTATTAGCACTGCATTTCAGAGAGCAGCATCTTTCTTAATAGACTGAACCAGTCACTTGTTCACAAGCGTTACTTGTCAGACTGGATTCTGCGGTGCTGTCGTTTTGCTCGCGTTAAAGAGGAACCAGAGATAAGTTAGTTATGAAGTCAGAAACACACTTGGAGCTCAGGCTCGGCTGGGATCCTTTTCCTGATGGGCAAACGGAGTTTTGCCTGACACCCCTGCGCCGAGGGGAGCGGGAGCGGCCGCACTCACCTGCAGCGCCAGGCAGCGCGCATCGCTGCTCTGCAGGGCGGCCCGCATGTCCTCCACCAGCTCCCG